CACAACATCAGAAACCGTACGGGAGTTTAGAACCTTTACCTGTGCCTATGGGTAAGTGGGAAGACATTGCCATGGATTTTGTCACTAAACTGCCCAGAACAAAGAATGGTCACGACATGATTTGGGTGGTCGTTGATCGATTCACTAAGAGTGCGCATTTCATAGCAGCCAAGGAGAAATGGTCTATGGAAAAGCTTGCGAATTCTTACGTAAAGGAAATTGTGAGGCTTCACGGTGTTCCGTTAACAATTGTGTCGGATCGTGATAGTCGTTTCACCTCGCGATTTTGGAAAAGTCTACAAGAAGAATTGGGTACCAAGTTGTGTTTAAGTACAGCTTACCATCCGCAGACCGATGGTCAGAGCGAACGAACAATACAAACACTTGAAGATATGCTGAGAGCATGTACCTTGGAATTCCTAGGTAATTGGGATGAACATTTACCGTTGGTAGAATTTTCCTATAACAATAGTTTTCACTCGAGCATTAAGATGGCACCTTACCAAACTTTGTATGGGCAAAAGTGTCGTACGCCGTCTTGTTGGCTTGAGGCTGGGGAAAAGCAGTTTATGGGACCGGAGATGGTTCATCAGACTGCTGAAAAGTTGAAAATAATTAGGGAAAGAATGTTAGCAGCTCAAGATCGTCAAAAGAGTTATGCTGACAAAAAGCGAAGACCGATGACTTTTGAAGTTGGGGATTCGGTTTTGCTTAAAGTCTCACCGTGGAAGGGACTTATAAGATTTGGTAAAAGGGGAAAGTTGAGTCCAAGGTTTATTGGACCGTTTAAAGTTCTTCAGAGGATTGGGAACCAAGCTTACAAGCTCGAACTACCAGAAGAACTAAATGGAATTCATAACACTTTCCATGTGTGTTATTTGAGGAAGTTCACGGGAGAAGTTCCCGACATAATTCCACTTTCAGAGTTGAGGATTGATGAGAACAAAAGGTTGATTGAGGAACCGGAGGCAATTGTTGACCGAAAGACTAAGAAATTGCGACGTAAGATGGTGGAGTTAGTGCTTGTCCGATGGAAACACACGAATGGGCCAAACCTCACCTGGGAGACGGAGAGTGACATGAGGAGTCGCTATCCGCATTTGTTTGTTGATGTGTGATTCCGGGGACGGAATCATTCTAAGGTGGAGAGAATTGTAACGCCCGTGTTTCTGGGCTTGCCATTTTTAGCAATGTAATAGTCTAGGTTAACCTTTGTAACTCAACTTGAAATAATAAGAATGTATTATTTGTGAATTATGTGAATTATGTGATTTATGTGTTTATTTTCTTGATTTTTATAATTTAATGAATTAAGAATGAAATAAGCGTCAAAATTAAAGTGTGAGATACGCCCGATATCTTTGCATAAAGTTGTAGTGGTCGAAACAAGGATTTCGGAGATATAAGGAATGCCAAAATCCGAGTTATAACGAAGAAGTTATGACCTGTCGAAGTTTCGAGACAGAACCGGCACGACGCCGAGTGACGTAAAATATGAATTTAAGATAGAACGATATTTAGCCTTAGCGATCTAAACGAAAGTCGTAGATTTCGTTAAACCGAGAGCGTGCATAAAAGGAACGCCCAAATCTGACTTCGTATGAGGAAGTTATGATTTTCTGAAGTTTCGACGTGGCAGTATGCAGCCCGAATACTCGATTTGAGATCGAGCGGTTTTTAGCCGAAACAATCTAAATGAGAATCGAATATGTCATTGTTAGTAGCGAAACGATGAAAAGTTAGGCGAGAACGGACGTCAGACGAAGAAGTTATGAATTTATAACGAAGTTTTTCTGTCCCGGCCTTCTAAAAATAAATAATAAAAAATAAAAGTCAAAATTAGCCAAGGAGTCTAAATGAAAGTTGTAGAGTATGGTCTGACCTTCGCGTGGATATAAAGAACGTCGAAAACGGAGCTCGTATGCGAAAGTTACGCAATTTAGAAGTTTGACAAGTCAATTACGCCCCGCGTAATTTGAGTACGCCCCGCGTACTCAGTCGGTTGCAACTTGTCTGACCAATACTCGAGTGCCACCAGTCGACGCACGCAGTGACGTCAAAGTACGCCCCGCGTAACCCGAGTACCCCCGCGTACTGAGTACGCCCCGCGTAATTTGAGTACGCCCCGCGTAATCCCAGACCCAGCAGCCTATAAATAGAACTCGAATTCAGCCATTTTCTCTTGTTCAAACTCTTCTTTCTCTCTAAGTTTTGCCTCGTTTTGCGTGCCGTTTATACCCCGAAGCCCCGGTAATATTCTCGAGCCCCGAAGCAAGATCCGAAGCCCCGAGAATCCCGAAGAGCGTTATTCCCGAGCCGAAACGCTGCCCGCGAGGAGCCCGGTTTTGTGAAGATCTTCCAGATCTACGGAGAAACACCTCTTCTGCAAGCCGTAGTGCTGCCCGATCATCTTCTGATCATGTGAGTGTGTAGTTACTTTCATTCCAACACAATATTATGAAGTATTTCCTATAAAATACGTGTTATGTGTATATATTTGGTTGTTATACGTGTGAGTGTATATTCACTCTCTTCTATCTTATAGATCTGAAGTATTCTCTATGAAATACGTGTTATGTGTGTATGCCTCATCTGTTATGTGAAAAATGTTTTGATTGAGCATGCTATACAGGTTTTGAAACTACGTATAAAAATGTATATTTTATCTACTAATATGTTGGGTAGAATATGGGTAGATAGTTGGTGTGTAATAAAGATGAGCCTCGATGTTGTTTTGATCCAGTCATCTAGCGGAATTTAGATGACGACCACGGACTTTTCTAGATAGTCCAGTGGAACGCTAGCAGGCTCATAACCTGTAGGTGTTAATGAACTTGGGTGTTCATTCGCTGTATTCCATCCCCCCATGGTTGCCTTATTTGACTTATATTGCTGAGGAACCCCCGAAGCATGTGTAGTCGCCCCGATGAAATATTCTTAGACTAGGTCCCTTGTGTTAGTTATTTAGGGACATAAAGTGAGAATAACGGGAATGGGTAACTGGGTTATTGTTGGTTGATAATAATTAATTTAATTATTTATTGTGGGTTGAAAACCCTACATGCTCACCAGGCTCCCAAGCCTGACCCACTCAGTTGATTTATTTTACAGGAAGTGGCGCAAGAGCTTAAGATGGGCGAACATCAAGTTGTTTTGTTTACAAGTCTGTATATGTATATATTTGTTGAAAGACTTGTAATGCTATCGTTTATGCTTTATGATCTGTATCGGAACATGACATCCCGACTTTTGATTATGAAATGAAATCATATTTCTTTATGAAATGTTTTGATAAATATCTATTTCATCATGTTTTGTTTTTGGGAACAAATTCCGCATCTCTTTTAAAATTAAAAGGACTTACTCTGAAAATTATTTTAAAAAGCATAAATGAAATCGGTCTTTTCTGGCCGAGATTTTGGGGATGTCACACAGACCAAAGACAAACAGGAAGAAATGCATTTCAGAAAGAAGTGACAGACACACTGTCAGCAAAGTTGGGACCACTTCTAAATGCAGTTTATGTTCCCAACCAGGTCATAACAAGAGGAAATGTCCTCTGAAACAGCTTAATGCAGTAGATGATTCAGATCTCTTTGATTACCATGAGCTATTTAAGGGTGAGGGGCAGGGTCAAGGGCAAGGACAGGGAGAAGGACAGGGACAAGGCCATGGGGAAGCTGAGGATGTTGGAGTTGATTTAGAGGATGAGGTTGGAGGTGATTCAGGGAAAGAAGTTGAAGGAGATTCAGAGGATGATTTAGAGATGCAGGTTGAACAACTAGTTGATGAAGAAGTGGTGAATCATCATGTGGTTGCTCCAACTTTGAAAAGGAGAAAGTGTGGTCCTTCTCAGAGGAACATAAAACTTCGGTTGAGGAGGAAGGTGGTGACCAAGGATGATACAGGGGGAAGTCTTGAAAATCCTGTAACACTCTAGGAGCAGTAATGGGGATAACTTTTGTTATCTTTTTTTAGGGAATCTTTTGGTAAGTGCAGGACAACTTTTGGTATGGAATCTTTTGTTAGGCACAACTTTTGATGTCTTGTTTACATTTAAGTTAAAAACTGCTGAAGCTACATGTGATTAGGTGTAATGTGTATTTTGATAATGTATGTGGTTTGGTAATGTGTATATTTAATGTATGTGGTAATGTGTATATTTAATGTATGTGGTCCCACTTAGATAATGCATGTGGTTTGGTAATGTGTGTGTTTATATTTATGGACAAGGACAGAGACAAGGCCAATCCAATATGTGGTTTAACTTTATCCCATTATATAAACCAGGAATCATTAATTCCATTTCAATATATAAACCAAGAATAGTTAATTCCATTCCAATATGTGGCCATTCCAATATATAAACCAAGAATCATTAATTCTTGGACAAGGCCATTCCAATGTGTGGTTTGGTAATCAATATTTCCATTCCATTCCAGGAATCAATGATTCCATTCTTGGAATCACAATGACAATTAACCAAAAATCATTAATTTCATTTCTATATACACAAAGATAATTAATCAGGAACCATTAATTCCATTCATGTGTGAAGAATCAATATAAAGCAATAATCAATATTTCCATTCCATTCCAGGAATCAATGATTCCATTCTTGGAATCACAATGACAATTAACCAAAAATCATTAATTTCATTTCTATATACACAAAGATAATTAATTAGGAACCATTAATTCCAATCCTGTGTAAAGAATCAATATTAAGCAGTAATCAATATTTCCATTCCATTCCAGGAATCAATGATTCCATTCTTGGAATCACAATGACAATTAACCAAAAATCATTAATTTCATTTCTATATACACAAAGATAATTAATCAGGAACCATTAATTCCAATCCTGTGTGAAGAATCAATATTAAGCAGTAATCACTATTTCCATTCCATTCCAGGAATCAATGATTCCATTCTTGGAATCACAATGACAATTAACCAAAAATCATTAATTTCATTTCTATATACACAAAGATAATTAATCAGGAACCATTAATTCCAATCCTGTGTGAAGAATCAATATTAAGCAATAACCAATAAATCCATTCCATTTCAGGAATCACTAATTCCATTCCAGTATTAAGCAGTAACCAATAAATTAATTCCAACACAAGACTTTTAGTTAACCAAACTTTCTAAATACATTACAAAAGTCATTACATTACAATTTCCATTTCATTTCAACATAACATACATACAAAACATAACAAAAGAACAACAACATACAACATTTGAGATTCCAATATTTCCTAGTTAATTTATCCAAGTCTTTTCTGAAACTCATTGATTCTTTATCTGCCTTCACCTTATGTGTCCAAAAATTATTTTCCAATATTGATATCTTGACTTCAGTGTTGTCTTCTTTTATTAGTTCGTCATTTTGATCGACCCATTCCCAGAAATCACATTTCTTCTTCTTCTTATCCTTCAATATACATAATAAAATTCACATAACAAATTAAGTATGAAGAAGAAGTAGATGATAGATGCTAGAACCACTTACTAGTGAGTTACGACATACTCTGAACTTTCTACCCGGATTATTAGTCGTAGTTGAGGTCCAAACTTGGGAAGGCTTCTCACAGTGACAAGGGTGGGCATAATCAATTGTGCTCCTGCTCTTGGAAATGTTCGAATTTGACTTAGAATAATTCGATGAACTTGAAGATGCCATAGGAGCCAAAGGAGATGAAGAAGGGGGATGAAGATGAAACCCTAATTTGATGGATGAAGGTCATTAAAGCACGTTCAGTAGTTCACCTGAGGTAACCGGTTACCTCAGGTCATCTAAAAGGTTATTTGTACTTTGTTGGTATTTTTTGTACAAAAATTCCGGTTTAATAGTATTTTTTTCACTAAAAAAAGAATAACGATGTTTTTTGTACGTTTTTGAAACATTATTACCCTTTTAAAAGTCATTTTCACTTAATAGTGAAATGATTTGCCGGAAAGTTTGCATTATGTTTGGTTGGAAAGAGTAAAGAAATACTCCGACACTATTTACGGTTTGACCTCCAACTGAATCTAAAATCCCAAAACGTTATCTTAAACCCCAGGGAGCCGCCATGAGCGCCACCCTGTTCTTCCTCTCGCCACCACCCCGCACTTTTCCAACTATATGCCCAATTCCGTCACTACAACCCATCCGCACTGTCGCCTTCTCCTCCTTATCTCTGAAACCATCACTTAAAATACCCAGACGAGACTTCAGGATCTTCTCTGATGACGGAGAAGCCGGGGGAGACGCTGACGGTGGCGGAGATGGAGACGCGGACGGTGGTGGAGAAGCAGACCGCGACGATATGGACGAAGAAGAAGCGGATGAGAGTGACAACAAGAGAGATTACGATGTCGAGTACGAGGCTCTTGTCGCCGCTTCGCGAGGCGGTGGTGAGGAAGGAATGGCGATGGTACAGAGTAAGAACTTTGTGTCAACTCAGGGGTGGAATTCGGAGGTGGTTGTGGATTATAGAATAAACGAGGATGAATTTCATAAGATCAGTTTGATGGATTGTGATTTTTTCATCCGGAAACCACCTGATCCTGATAATGATGTCTACGATTTCCGAGAGGTAATTTCATAACCAAATTAGTCATACATCTGTATCTACGTTAGATTTCGGTTTTCAAATACTCAAATTGATTTAATTGATTAATGTCATTTTGGACGAAATTTAGTGCTAAGATAGCCCGTGATTAACAGAAATTCCCAAATTCAAAAGGCTACAGCATACACTTTGGCCCCCCAAAAAGAACAAAAGTTTAAGTGTACATGAATTGTGTAGGTTATAGGTATTGACTCAAATTTTGATAACATTATGCGTTTATGGAGAATTTTACGGAAATATTTTGTTTTGGTGTTGCAGATGTATGTGACAGAACCAGATACTGATATTTATGCAATTCCAAGAGTTCTTGCACCAATGCCCGAGAAGGTTACTTAAGACAAATTCCTAGTTTCATGCTTATAAATGACTATTTAACTATCCATTGATTTCATCACTGATTTTCAGATTTACAACCTTCCTTTCTTCAACCATTGTCTACACGATCCAGTGGATAACAATATTATGCATTTCTTTAATTGCAGTATATCAGATGTGCAAAGAGTGATTGGGGGACCTACAATGTCACGGAACCACCTATTGATGCACTTAGAGATCCTATGTACAAATCAGAGTGGGAGGTTATGAAGGTTAGGAACTCATAATTTTTTGTTAATTTCTTTAATTTTTTGCCACATTATAACATCTCATCTATATTTAATTCAATCGAATAAACCCGACTCAGTACTTTACTCTAGATACAAAATACCCCACTTTGAATATTGATCTAGAGTTGGAGGACCAAAGTGTAAAATATATTAAAATGAAAGCTTTGTAGAGATTATAATGACAATATGTTGTTGTTGTTGAAGGTGTTTTTGACGAAGCATTACAGGAATCGACGGTTGGATGATCCTGATTTTGTGCTAGACTTTGAAGAGATTTATGTCATTGATTCAAAAACAAAGTCGATAACTCGGGCAAGAGTTTTGGTAAGTGCCCATTATGCTTTAAGTTAACAAAGACATCTTACTATGCTAAGTCCATTAAGCTTTGTTTCTTTTGTTTAATGGAATTATTATTATGATGATTTTTTTTTTTAAGGTAACGGTTCCTGAAGGAAGAGACAGAGATAGAAAGAATGATTTTCTTGTTATTCGGGATAATGCAACTTCATTCACAATAATCCCTTCGGTGATAAATCCCATACAACTACAATTCCAAATTATGATTGCATTTTGTATCTTTTTCTTTTTCTGATCCTAATATGGTTTTCAGGAGGAGAGAGATGATCCAACGACTGTAGTACATAGGGAAGAGTGGGACAAAGACAGAAAGGACATGGAAAGACATCTCAGCAAGCTGCGGGATTTCAACGTTTCAAATTGGTTCTAGTTTTCCGTTTCTATATAGGCGCTGAATTTTGTACAACAAGGGCCTTTCAGTTGCGGGTATAACGGTTTCCAACTTGTATTATTACTCGGCTTTCTTTCGATTAGAGGTGTCATGTTCATGTGTAGGTAACTTTTTATATCAAAATAGTGAAACAAGTATGAACCGAGTGTCCGGTTCAGTCTTTATTGTCAACTCCATATTTTGCTCACTAGGGTTCTATAGATGGTAATCTTGATGAATTGTATGTGGAAAATATCGTTCACCCATTGTTCCTTTAGGCCCTGTTTGTTGCACGGGATGCAACACAATGGAATTGGACTAAACTAGACATGATAGACAAACTTTCTAGGGCTATATTTTCAATGATGAGACGTTTTGTGCTCATATGAGAGATCAATAGTTCGTCTCCGTCCCACCTTTTTGGATAGTATAACAAAAGTAAGTTTAATCAACTCGTCTTCAAGAGCATCTAAGGTCCGATGGTCCTCTTGAGTTATATATAGCTTTGAATATACCATACTATATATGTGCATCAAACCTCCAATGACTATGACATATGGAGTTGTATCCATCTCTTCTCTTTTATTCTAGATAAGGAGAATCATTTTACTAATCTTAAAGTTGGCAGCAGGAGCAGAATTATTCCCATGTAGCTTCAATGAGACGATTCATCCAATATTTTTTCTCAATTAACATGCCATCAACTTTTACAATATAATGGTGAAATCATCAACACTAAACCACGTAAAAAAATGCCTTGAATGGATTTTTCGATAGCCTTGCTCAAAATGATCTAGGCAAAACGCTCAAAATAATCTTGTTTTGGCTACAATAACTATGATGACTCATCACAACAACATATTACACATATGAATTCAACCATTGTAAATACAAACAAGTTCATAATTAAGTCAATAATTTTCAATTCTTCATGATTCCCAATTACAATTCAACAAGTATCAAACATGCAACAAGATTGAAAACCCACAAACCAAAGAACAAATACTTGTATTTTGTATTTCTAAGCATCTACAAGTGTATGATGAAACTCATTCACGGATCTAAGTAACCCGAGAATAACTTCTACTGCTCTTCAAAACATAGGGGGATCATCCCACAAACCACAATTGTTTCCACTTTGAGAGCAATGCCATAACCTTCAACCTGGATTTATCCATGAGGTTACTATTATTGTATGGGTATCCCATGCATAAATCACCGTTTATGGAATACTTTTGGATGCAGTTACAGATAGTGGATGGGGAAGAGGGCAGGAAACGAACCTTCTGCAGTGCAGACTTTAAATCGAATATGATAGGCCTCCATTGGAAATGTCTGGTTTGCCCTCATGTGAGGTCTACGTGCGTCTCATTAATGTTGGAAATAAACGAGAGTTAGGCTCAAGAACAACCGGTGCAAAAATAAATAAATAAATAATAATTGAAAATACAATTGTTGCATCTGCCGCCAAACTTTATCAAAACGCCGTCTTAATTCATGTATATAAAAATGAATAATAATTGAAAATACATATAAAATATTAATTATATAAAAAATTATCACTTAAGTCATGCTTTACTTTATTTAAACCTTGAAAAATCCAATACTAGGATCAAATGTTTGAAATTGGGCAAACCAGGACCAAATGTGTAGTTTACTCTTTCTTATATGTATTTCAGGAAAGGCCAACCTCACTCCCATGAACATTTTGTGTTCTTCTCATTGATTAAGAATCGTCGAAGTCAAGAGGTCATAGCAAAATATACAAAATTCCCTCTACTATTTTCAACTAGGGTTATGACGATCCAAGCCCATATGCTATACTCATGTATGTGACTGTGAATGTGTAATATACTGGGAGAATTACCGATGGAGGAAGGCGGTTGCGGAGGTAGCGACGGTGCATCGTCATCATCGTCGGCATTATTAAATGGTGGTGGACGGCAAAGGTTTGAGGTGGAGTTGAGGCCGGGAGAGACAACAGTTGTGTCGTGGAAGAAGCTTATGAAAGATGCCAACAAAGCTGCAAATAATAGTCTGCCCCCTCTTGTACCTGCTCCTCCGATGCCTCCTGCTGTTGCTGTTAATCAAGCCCTAGATCCTCTCAATGCCCCACCGGTAGTGTCTTCGTGAACTTGCCATATTTTTTTGATTAAATTGTTACCTACAGTTCGGATGAAGAAAGTAGAAGTTTGATTGAAAATAAGGTGATCTAGGATGTTTATGCAATTATGAGCTGCTTTCAACTCCTAATGGTTACTTGTTATCGAATAAGTTGAAATACTTTTTAGAATTCAGTTGGAGTTTGAAACTTAATTGTTACTTTAGCAGTTAGGAGTTTGTAAATTGACACGGAAGTTTGTAAGTTGTGACTATCATAAGTAGAATGATTTTGCAGTAGGGTAGTTACATCAGAATGCTTTCACGGTATATCGTTTCTGTTTTTATTTTTCCTAGAAATGACTTGCTGATGTGATTTTTGAAACTGATGTGTGATCATGGTATAGACATATCATGAAGATAGGTAATGGTAGTGTTAATATTTCTGATGGTAAATCATTTCACAGAGTATAATTGCACAATATTTTACAGATATAAACCTATAGTGAATAGCAAAGCCTTTTTTTCTTTGTTTATCATTGCTTCTTTTTGATAACATGAGGAGATTTCTTGTTTTGTAATGTAATTTGGTAACTACCTTCACTGTACTTAGTCCAATTAGCATTTGCAGGGAGAGCCTGCTGAAAATGAAGGTAATGATGCAGCTCCTGGTAGCCGTTTTGGTGCTGTTATTGAGAAGATTGAGCGCTTATACATGGTATGTGATACATTTATTATGTTACAGATGCTGTTATCTGGATAACTATGAGGATGACATATCTAAGTGGTCATTTGTAGAACTATGGATTGGGATTGACAGAATTACATCAAACTCTTAGGAGTAATGTTGTAGAAAATTCTTGTCATTGTCCTGAAGATGCTGCATCATATACTTTCAGGGTAATAACAGTATTGATGAGGAAGATCTCAATGATGTTGTTCCTGATGATGATGAGTATGATACTGAAGATTCTTTCATAGATGATGCCGAGCTGGGTTGTGAACCTCTATCTTCTTTGCATAATTGTTTTATGTTGAATCACTTCTTAATCTCATTGCTCTTGTTTTAGTTGAAGATCAGTAATCTTTGCATTTAGATTTATCGCCTTCTTTCTCTTCCACAGGATGACTATTTCCAGGTTGATGATTCTCAAATAAAGCATGACGGATTCTTTGTTAATCGTGGCAAGTTGGAGCTCGCAGCTGTTTCAAAGTAAGTTTTTTTCCTATGGGAAAACAGCATCTTATCATGACTATAATTCTTCTACCTTCTTTTTAGATTATCTCTTGGTTATAATATCTCCAATCTGAATATATTGGTAGGAATGAGCCTACTGCTTTGCCAAACCATCAATGGAAAAAGAGAAGGAAAGATTCAGAAAAAGTTAGTGGTGGGAATGATAGTGGCCAGCTGAATACTCAGAAAGTTAAAAATAAGGAAGCGGGAAAGGTACATGCACCAGTAGACAAAAATTCCATCATTTCATCTCAGAGTAAAGCTTCATCCACTATAATTCCTTCAAGTTCTGAGGCTACAAGAATGGAAAAGAACATTGACAAGCAGAAGGCTGTGGTATGCCAACCCAAAGACCATGGTAGTAAATTGAAAAATGGAAGTCCCTTCTCTGTGACTCCATTGCAGAAGTCTAATGACAATAGCTCTAATGTGAAATCAAGTTCTCATTCCGGGCTATTGCTTAACAACTCAGAAGAGTTGAATCAATCTCTTCCCATTGGAGAGAAAAATGTGATTCGTGAACAATCAAAAGCCAAGGCCACCAGGACCACTCAGCAAGCTACGGTGAGTGTTCCTTCACTGTACTGTCTTTTTTATTCCTAGAATTCCTCTCCTCACTAACAATCATCTAATTATGATTATGATTATGATTAATATCTACAATTTAGTTAGAGGGTGCATACCAACAAAGCCTTAGCAAATAAAACCAATTAAATCAAATTACCAACATCCAGTCTCAAGCTTGGGAATATATGTTTTCCATCCCTTGCTTGCAAAACTTCAAAACATTTTAATATGGTGATACACTTGTGTACAAGTTAGGCAGTCGATAGTTTTGTCATCTGAAGCACTTTGCACTCCTATATGAATCCAACACCCTCCTACTTGTGATAAAAACCGAATCCAAAGCCACCGTTGAGATGGGAATAGCTAACAAATCCTTAGCCATCAGAGATAAAATTGGAAATCTCGGGCTATTTACCTTCCAACAAGTCAATATATCAAAACTAACATTAATATCAATATCTTCAACACTTTCTCCCAAATACTTATCCAATTCACTAATTAATTAGATGTTTGGCTCGTTTTCATCTTATTTCCCAACTTATCTTCATAATCAGGATTTGTTGTACAACTTGTAGGTATAGCATGAATTCTCACATAATCTTCATGTAAAACTTTCTTCTTGATGTATGTTTTCTACTTTTCTTTAATTCAACAATTGTTTTTCCTTCCATTTCATGATGATCATCCAACACAATTTCCATGTTCATTAGATTAAGGTAAGAAAGCAAAATATAACAACAAATTTATATTTTCAATCTCACCACAATATTTGTCAAACTTAGATTTCATCACCTTAGCAATTTCATAAAGATGTTGATCTGTTGGTTATTCTTCTAAATAATCTCAATGAATTTGTCTCAAAATGTCACAAATTTTAGCTTAAGGCAATGAAAAATCACAATTGTATGTGATATCACATACTTTGTCTCGGAAATTCTCAATGTAACATTACAAAATGTTTTGACCTTTGAGTAAATAACACAACTTTCTAGCTTTCTTCTAATCTTCTGATGTTGAAACTGAATTGCCCTTGTTAGCTATTTCCATCTAAATGGTGGCTTTGGAGTCGGTTTTTAGAACAGGTGTAGGGTGATGGATTCATATAGAAGTTCTTTAGGTGACAAAACTATCGAATGCCTAATTTGGACATAAGATTGGCTTTGTAGTTTGTATGGCGGTATAGGTATCAATCCCAAAAAAACAAGAAGTTGTAAGATTATAAATTGAAGAATGGAAGCTTGTTTTTCCAGTTAAACACTTATTTTGGATTTAAACAATTGATTTCAAACACTTTTTTTTTTTCTGGTTGCTAAAATGTTAAACGTTTCCTCGTAATATGATATAAATATTGGTTTCTATTGAAAGTAAACAAAACCAAATATGATGTATAGCATCCAGTGGCAATGAAACTTAATTTGTGACAATTTTATAATTAACCTGATTAACCTGAACCTGACTAACCTATAACTTAATAGGGCCGGGTGAGTGTAAAAAAACCCGATAAACACCTATAGCAGTAGTAGACAAAACTTTTAACCAGAATCTCAACAACGAATGCATACTCAAAGAAGAGCAGAAACTCAAGAATATTTTTAGTGAAAAAAGGCTGTACTGTGAAAATGACTAAAAGGTTAATAATTACTTAATAGTTCTGATCTTGACTTATCTGCTCTAACGGTTGTAATGTTATTCTTATTTTATTTGTCACTTCGGAATGTCTGTAATGCAATCTAAAGCAACTTTCTGTAATTTTTTCAGCAGAAAAACCCTCTCATGGTGAGAAAGGAAGGTTCAAATACCAAACCTAAAAGTACAACGCTTGAGAAAGCTATCAGGGATTTGGAGAAGACTGTTGTGGAATGTATGTCTGGTGATCACTTCTATCTAAATATCAAAGACACACTTCTCTTCTCTGTTCATTAAGGCTGCATTTACCGGACTAGATTGGACAAACTTTCTAAGGCTATTGAGGCTGAGGAGGGCATTCATGTCTTTTGCACATATGATATATTAAATTATCAATAGTGTGGTGGGACAAAATATCAGTCCCAGTTCCAGTCCAACGTAAACCAAGCTTTGTGCAACATGTTATGTCGTGTCCTTTGTTACAAAGGGGCTAACTTGTAATATTTGACATCATGGCAGCAAGGCCACCAAACATGGGAGTTGCTGATGCTGACACTTGTTCTCCAACAGTCAAAAAGAGAATGCCTCCTGACATAAAGCATAAGCTAGCTAAAGTTGCTAGACTTGCGGTAATTGACACCTAACTTTTTATCTGTTTGTTCAGTGGAATTGCTCTTTTCTTGTCTTCAATAATTGTGCTTCTTTTGAACATATTTTTGAAGACATTCACAATTTGAACCTTTACATTTATGGTGGTTTTTAGCATGCAAACCATGGGAAAATCTCAAAGGAGCTACTTAATCGGTTGATGAGCATTGTTGGTCATCTGATACAGCTCAGATCATTGAGGGTATTGCATTTGTTTTGTCATATATTATTGTATTTTTCTTTTGTATAATTTTTATAACCTTGCTTTTAGCTGCTCAATATTTTATAATCATTTGATGCCTTCCAACAGAGAAATATTGTAAACATGATTAATATGGGATTGTCTGCCAAAGAAGAGAAAGATGCCAGGATGCAGCAGTTAAAGAAACAAATAGAGGAGATGGTTAAGATATGGGCACCAATGATGATGTCCAAGGTATGCTTGCTTAGTTATGTTTTTTTTCTTAGATAACTGCAATTTACCCACAAGTATGCTTTTATTTATTTAAAGAAAAGATGGGGAAATTAAGAAAATGAATAAATAAACACGATTGTGTAAATGATCCGTGCTAATATGGATGTGGACTGTGGAGACGCATGTTTCTTTGATCAGTAATCTTGAATGTTTTTGTGTTTCTTGAGATGCTTGTAACCAGTCCTTTAAACTTTTCAGGGTTAAATAGAAGAATGAATAACAACCTCTTTCATCAGTTATAGCATCCTACTTTCATTTTGTCTCATGTTTTGAATAATCTACCTAAGTATAGCAATGTTATCCAAATAAAAAGCAGTTGTCACTGATATAATTGCACATATTTTTTGAAGTATAATCTCCTAATAAGAAAGATGAAAGATACAATGGTATAAATGGTTGGATTTTTCAAAAAAGAGTAGAGTTCCTTCGCAAGAAAAAAACTGGAAGTACATTGCTGTTAAAAAGAAATGAAAGTACATAGCTATTTCTAGGATTTAGCCAAACATTTTAATGTTTTGTTGTTGTTCGTATCATCTCAGGCTATTGAGCAACAGCTGGTTGGAGAATCTGACGATTTTCAAGAAAGTGGGACCAAAGAAAAAGAAATTCTTAAAAGACAAATTACTATGGATGATGCATTAGAGGATAAGATATGCATCCTTTATGACCTTTTTGTTGAGGTAGCACTTCATCCATCTTATCTTTAAAAAAAATCGTTTTGAAACACGTACTTGCCTTTTTAAAGCTACTCATTTGTAATCAGGGACTGGATGAAGATGCAGGTCCTCAAGTTAGGAAGCTCTACGCAGATGTAAGCTTATCCTAAAACTTTTATGCATTAAATATGACATTTGAGAGTACAGTGACTAGATAGATATGTATGTAGTAATTAAGTGGGAGAAATTGACCATTATGTGATTTTTTTAACCTTATCCTTATTCATTAATGTTGCAGCTTGCAGAACTGTGGCCACAAGGTTTAATGGACAATCATGGGATTAGAGGAGCAATTTGTAGGGCAAAAGATAGGAGAAAAGCACTACACAAGTATAAGGGTCAAGAGAAGTTGAAAAGGAAAAAAATTACCCCTACAAAAACCAATACTACCATTGACATCGAGGCAAGCTCTGTAGCTTCAGAATACAAATTTTCTACTGCAGTCACCCAGGCAAAGAGAAAGATGGAGGTGGAGTAGTAGTCTGAAGCTTAAATCCAACTTAGATAAAAATGTGAATAACTCAGATCAGATTCTAATATGTGAGTTTGGCTCCAAATATGTTTCAATGGGCACATGATAGTTTCGGTTTATATATACACAAAAGATAATACACCATCCATCAATTTTTTATAATAGAGGTGGCAAAATGTGATGTGAATGATTAGTCGAGTCGCGTTATTATTTTATCTTAGGGTTGTAGAGCTGTCCCTGATAGAATTCATATCATATCCAAAAACACCAACATCAACACCCTGCGCCCATAAGAATGAGGCAAGGGGATGTAGGATGGGTAGACAACCTCTATCTGAGAGTAGAGAGACTGCTTCCGTAGATAACATGCAATCATTTTATATGTAGGGACAAACGCTCACTTTTAAAATTTGTTATTAGGAAGGGATAGCTATGTAATTTTTTTTAATATGTGTATTATTCCTGTAAATATAGTTTTGTACAAGGACCTATTGTGTAAATTAGAAGGACCGTGCTTGTAATTTATTTTCTATGTAAGGACAAAACAGGTGAAACTTGCAAACACGAGAAAATATTCGGCACTTGATAAAATCATTGGAAAAAAATAGAATTTTAAACTACAAAATTATATTATTGATCAAGAAATTAAATTGATTTGATTTTTTGTCTTTTCCAAGTCCACCCTTGATATTTGATTTTTTGTTCTCTTGTATTTCTTATTTTGTTTTTTTATTGTTTTTAATTCATTTTTAATTTATTATTATTACTATAAATTTCGAACAAAATTTTATAATTCGGATGACGTTATAAAATTCGAACGGCTATATAAAATCGGTTTTTAATTATTTTTTATTATATACTAGGTGTGAGATCCGTGTATTATACGGGTTTATTAAAAGTAAAATTTTAATATCAATATATAAATATAAAATATTTTATATTTTATAATCTAATAATCTACATAACAGAATGTAATCTTCTGATAATTTGCAAAAGAAATTAAATAATTTGAAATATTTATGAGAATTTATTGCCAAATTAATAGGATGATTTTATTTCTTTTTAGAATCCATTACAATTTTATGAAATTTTATTTTAAGAAAATGAAATTCTCTAAAATTTTCACAAAATGATAAGTGTCAAAATGAAGGAAAAGATGATAAGTGGCAAAAAATAATCTTAATTTATTAAAGATGATTTTAATAATAATAATAATATTATTATAAATTTCGAACAATATTTTATAAATCGGATGAAATTATAAATTTGAACGATTAAATCGGTTTTTAATTCTTTTTATTTTATATTTTCTAAATTGGTTTTTATAATTGGCCGACATTATATATATATATATATATATATATATATATATATATATATATATATATATATATATATATATATATATATATATATATAAAGTCTAATGATATCAAATCAAATATCAAAAATTTGATATTGAGTTTAGGGGAGAGGGGGGCTTAAATTTAGTTAAAAGATGTAATTATACCACAACCCATAAAATACTGTGTGAATCCAAAGCTACAACTTTCCTTCTAGTTGTGTTGAATCACATGCCGCTTTCCTTTCCTTCTAGTTGTGTTGAATCACATGCCGCTTGTCCCCGTAACCATGTTGTTTATGTAAGTTAACTTGTAGAGGGGCTAAACCGCCAAAAACATAAAAGTGCCGCGGCAAAACTTGGAAACTAAAAAAGTATTCTGTGGCTAAGGACTTTAGTTTTAATATCTATATCTATATAGTAAGTTGGTAACTATAAGCTTAAAAATATTTTCCTAGACTTATAATTTACATAAAACTTATTATTTTAATCCGTTGACTCTAACCAACAATGGGCCCATGCGTTCGCATGACGACTTAATTACATCCAACCAAATCCGTGGTCTTTGTTTCCCCTCGTGTTTTGCTTCACAACCAGAAAAGTATCAACAAAATAAAAATTTACGTTGATTTAATGACAATCATCAAGTCGATTATAGTTTTGTTTTTATTAGATGATATTAATCAATTATTGTGACGTGTCACTTTTTTCATAAAATAACATTTTGTCTAATTTTAATGTTGTATAATACAGATTTTCTTCCATAAAATATTAAATACGATTATTTTTTATTACAAAAATATGATCTGAATACAACAAAATTATATATTTTGTTATTATACAGAACATATATTGCGTAAGTCGTAATTTATCTTAACATTTGCATTATTCAACAGATTATTGCCCGAAATTCTTTCTTTCTCTTTCCATGAAACTTCTCGTAAATTCCTCATCATCTTCCATCCACACAAGTCATTTAATATGACTTTGAAGCATTCACTCTTCTCCAAATCATTGAGGATTAAAAGATTAATCTATCTAAGGCATTAATCTCTAATGGAATGTTAGGCTAGGAAAAAACTACATATATTCAGAATATCAATGAGAGCTCGTGCAAATAGTTAAAATTTGTTAGAAATCATTTAAAGACATAATTGCAAGTATAAATTATAAATAATGATTAGGATGATAATGTCCTCGTTGTCAAGTTGCTCATATCCTCATCCTCCTATTCAAAGTTGACCGTGTTTTAAAATTTCCCTTCTTAGATCATCTAAAAAGTCATATACCATGATTACTTAGTCTCATTCACTGCTATTTATACCCATAGAAAATTATCATTTTGATAAATTTTCTTTGTATAACATCTTTTTTCCAAAACAATGTCTCCAATCAATTGCCACGAATTGCACCAGCTTTTCAAGATTCTTGACACGAATGAAGATGGCCTAGTGAGCATCGAGGAACTTAAAGGGCTTCTCGAGAAAACCGGAGTTCAAATAAGCTTAGACGAGCTCAAAACCATAGTTGGCAATACATGTCTTGACCTCATGGACTTTTGGGTGTTTTATGATGTTTTTAACAAGCATAACCCAATTGATGGCCATCATAGATCAAAAGAGGTGGAGCAAGAGATGATGGAGGGTGATATCTTGAAAGCTTTTAAAATGTTCGACATGAATGATGATGGATTCATCTCAAGCGAAGAGCTACAAAGCACCTTGTCAAGATTAGGGCTATGGAATGATGATTCTGGCCAGAGGAGTTGTAGGAGCATGATTGAATTTTATGATACAAATAATGACGGAGTGCTTGATTTTGAGGAGTTTAAAAATATGTTGTTATTGCCAAAGTCATTTGACTCGACTGGTACCTAATTAGATTTTGTTTTTATTCTGATGGTTACAACTTTATTCTGTGATGCTAATAGGGTATATATCTGTAATCTATATATTTATAGTTGGATTCTAATAGGATTGTGTTGTTACTCTCAAAGTCCTATAAACAATTTCGTATTGTACTTTCATCAATGTCATGTTAATGCCACTAAATATAAGTCTTCGGTTCAAATCCAATAAAGGGCATTGTATACTTTTTCCAGTCAACGAACTATCTTAAAAAAATGACTAAACTAGCCACCTTCTTCAACGATTTGCCACGAAATAACCCAAAATTTTCGATTGTTCCTCAAAAAGAACAAGCCACACTTTTTGCAAGAGGCAATGCATATTTGTGAAAAAGCGTTGGTGTATTTTTTGCCGGTAAAAGACTGCCATAGACACCACATCAATTTTTATATATTTTTATATTTTTTTACCTATGAGCTATGTTACGATGATGTTTTTACCTACTAACTTTTTTTTTAAATTAAAAAATCTAAATAATCACATAAAAAATGTTTTTACCTACCAGTTCATTCTTCCCTCTTAAACCTCGCCGCTTCAGATTCTAAACCCTAGCAGCAGATAACACACACAAATCGAAGAAATGTTGGAGAGCAGATTGATTACGATTATCAGGAGAAGCAAATCTATCAATCAAATAAAATCATTGTTTTCTTCTCACGGCGGATCGACGAATCTTCATAGTCGATTCATGTTAGATCGTTAACCCCACCACTAGAAACTGTTTCATCAATGGCTTTTGATCCTTCTATAATCTTAACAAGGTATTGTCGACTGCAATACGAGCAACGGTCACAAACCCACAACGTTCCAATTTTTAAATCTTTACCACCGGTACCTCACCGCTGGTGAAAAAAAGAGAGAGGGGCGGTGTTCATCGCCAGTAAAGTAATCCACGTCGGACTACCGACAGTGAAAACCGCATCACACCGTTTAGCTTTATGCCCCTCTCTAAGGTTTCACAGTCGATACTATGAAATACGCCCACTATGGACCCCACTATGAATTGTGGTTCCATTATGATATTGTGGAACCCCTGTGAAATTACTTTTTGACCATTGTTTGAAGAATTGTGTTCATTAATAATAATGCAAAATTTACCGTTGTTAACGTGAAGTTACAATGGCCACCACTCAAATATCAAAGAAGCAAAGAAGCTTGTAATCTGAGTGCTTGGATGGCTATCATCAATATCAATGTTTTAAAAATTGGTTTTATAGTTGAACCGGTATAGTGATTGGTTCCCGGTTTAACCGATTCAACCACTAGGTTAACGGTTTCTATAATTTTCATCTTTTTCCTATTTTCTTACACGTACATATATATATAAATCATGAATTTAATGTTTACAAGTGCAAACATAAAAATATATATATATATATATATATATATATATATATATATATATATATATATATATAAAAGTTGTAGATTAATCAAAATATATTAGAATAACACATAACCATAAGTTTTAGTGTTTTATATCAATCCATATACATCAAAAAGAAAAGTAAAGTATAATGCCGAAACAAAATATAGTTTTAGTCTTTTAGATGAATACAAACACATCAAAAAACTTTACAACATATGTTTTTTATTTAAAGAACGGGAAAAAGATTTGAAAACATATCAAAGTTTACTATGCAAAGGAAAATCTTCAGAAAAGTCTCAATATTTACGGAAAAGTTACACTTTAGTCCTAAGACTTTTTTTTTAAAATGAAAAAGTCTTGAAAACCGGCAAAATTTTGTAGTTTGACCGATTGAAACCGGTACCAAATTAATTTGGGACTATTTCATAAACTAACCTAAAATATTAAGACTTTTCTGTAAACAAAAAATATTATGATTTTTCTGTAAACAAAAATATTATGACTTTTCTACAAACAAAACTCTTATTATTATTATTATTATTATTATTATTATTATTATTATTATTATTATTATTATTATTATTATTATAAATAAGAATACTATTTTTTTGAACATGTTATTATTAATATTGTTACTAATACATATAAATGCATTTAAATTTAAAAATAATATTAATGACATTGTTTGAGGGTAGAGGTGGAGGAGATGGTGATGCTTTTAACATTAAAATCATGAATATTTACTTATATATTTTTACTTTGTATATGGTCATTTCACATGTGTTATTATTGTTTTCAATTCAGAATAATAATACTTAACAATTTAAAAGAAGTTGCATATTTGTAAAATTATTTATAAATAGTTTAAGGTAAAAGGATTTCTCACTTTGTATATAAAAATGTTTAAGGTAGAAGAATTACTTTCCAAATCCAACAAATCCACTACAAACATCTACGTAAGT